CACACTCCTGCATCAACTCATTCTCAACTTGGCAGAAATGTGGCCTTGCTCCTAACTACTTCCATGACCTTCTAACCCCCACCAACCTGCCCGCTCCCTCCGCTCAGCGGACTCCGGCCTGCTTCATGTTCCCCGCCATGCTCGCCCCATCATTGGTGGGCAGTCCTTCTGCCACTCTGCCCCTACCCTCTGGAACTCCATCCAGTCCCTCCGCCTTGCCCCCTCCCTTGCCTCCTTCAAGACCCATCTCAAGACTCTCCTCTTCGACGGTGCCTTCAGTCACTCCCTCCTTCGCCTCCCTGCTCTGACCCTCCACGATCCTGGACCCCCAGTTCAGGTCCGAAACACTAAATGTCCAGCGCCTTGGACGTCCTCCCGATGTGAAAGTATCCAAAAGTAATTTTGTTGTTGTTGGGAGGATTTCCTATTATGTATACAACAAGAACACTAAATTGCATATGTACATTTCACCTGGGAGAACATCTCACAGAACTTTATGTGGATTGGATGGTGTTGTGGGACACAGCAAATGAGGGAAAAAGGGGCAGTTGGGGGAAACTGAGCAGAGGCTAATAATATATAATAATCCTTGTATTTGATATAGCGCTTTTCATGTCTTCTCGAAGTCTCAAAGCGCTTCACAGAATATACTGTAAAGGGAATTGACTATATATTTGTGGGCAAAATGCGGCGTCCCACAAACAGTCATGGATTGAGTGACCAAATTATTATTTTATTTTTTCTTGAGGGTTTATTATCAGGTGTGTGGAGTAAGAAAACTTGCCCCAGGGTTTCGCCCTGCTGGGAATCAAACCCAGGTCTCTCGCTCGCAGAGAGATTGGGGAGGGCATTCCATAGAATAGAGGTGTAGTGACTGGAATCTCAATTGCCAATGGTGGAAGAAGGGGGTGAGGGATGTGCAGCAGCCCTGGGTTTGTGGAGCACAGGAAGTGGACGTGAGAATAGGACTGGAGGAGATAGGAGAAGGCGGATGGGGCAAAGTTGTGCAGGATCAGAAGAACCAACGTATTTCGTAAGTGAGAATTGAGAAACACAGAATATATTAAAATATATGTTTATATATTATAAAATAATACATTTACATTTATATAATACCTTGCATGTTGGGAGGATGTCTCCAAGCACTTGCATATACTATTTTTAAGAGTGTATTAAAAATGAGAGTAATATTATTTGGCTGTTATGCCAAGGATATCAATTGTACATGCCTGAACATAAACTATACTCCAAGGATTTGGAATCAATCCATAGTTTGTCTCTTCTTTAAATAACTGTACATGTGACATACGGTACAGTATGGATTATTTATTGTCATTAATAAGGCATGATATTGAAAAAGGTTGATTTGAGCAGATCTTCTTCTGATCAATGTCCTCATTGATCTAAAAAAGAGCCAGTTCTTCAGTTAGATGTCGATGAAATTAGGAAAGTGAAGAATGTTTCTTCTCTTGGTGAATAGTCCTGTAGTTTAGTGGTTAGAGCACTCGCCTCGCAAGCAAGAGGACCTGGGTTTGATTCCCGGCCAGGGCAAAACGTTAGGCAAGTTTCCTTACTCCACACGTCTCTGTTTATTGTGCGTAGGTAGGAACCCTGATAGGTTAGTCGATTGGCAGATCATTTTTCCAGGGGTAACAATCCTGTCAAATAAAAAAAATGTGGTCACTCAATCCACGACTGTTCGTGGAACACTGCTGTGCACAATTGGCTGCCGAGTTTCACTCACAAAATATACAGTCATTTCACTTTACTGGAAATTCTGTGAAGCGTTTTGAGACGTCTAGAAGATGTGCTAAGGAGCTATATCAACTACCAGGTTTACTATTATTATAATTTTTCAGGTAAATTAACTCTCTGGTGGTTTGTTGGATGTTGTGGGTGCAAATCTACTGCCAATTTTGCTTATAAATTTCCAGTCTCTACACTTGGTAGGAATTGCTTGTGAATAGTAATAATGATAATACTTCTTGCATTTGAAGGATGCTTGCCCAACATGGTTAGAACATTCGCCTTGCAAGCGAGAGACCTAGGTTCAATTCCAGGCAGGGCGAAACCTTGGGCAAGTTTCCTTACCCCACACGCCTAATAATAATCTCTCCAAAACAAAAAACAATAATAATTTGGTCATTTCCACGACTGTTTGTGGGACACTGCTGTGCGCAATTGGCTGCCACGTTTTGCCCACAAATAACCAGTCAATTTGCTTTACAGCAAATTTTGTGAAGTGCTTTGAGCCGTCGAGAATACGTGAAAAGCACTATATCAAATGCAAGATATTATTATTATTATTATTATTTTTGGCCTGCTGGGAATCGAACCCAGGTCTCTCACGTGCGAGGCAAGTGCTCTAATAATAATAATAATAATCATAATCCTTGCATTTGATATAGCGCCTTATCACTTTGTTGTGACATCTCAAAGTGCTTCACAGAATATATTGTAGAGTGACTGTATATTTTGTGAGTTGAAAGCACTTTGAATGTTTTGACTTCATAGGCACTATAACAAATGCAAAGATTATTATTGTTGTATTATTCTAAACACTTAAGTAAACATTTTCAAAAGTAACTTAAGATTTTCAAATCATAAAGAAAGTTGATGAATGCTGCAAATCTGAAATAATAATAATAATTCTTACATTTGATAAAGCGCCTTATCATGTTGTTGAGACATCTCAAAGTGCTGAACAGGCAGACAGAAGCTCGGTTTAAAGTCTCATCTGAAGGACACACTTCCAACAATCCACCACCACTGCATCAAACAACAACAACAACAACAACAACTGGCACTTGTATAGCGCTCTCAGAGAGCTTAACAGTGGCGGAGCCTGACTCCGAGCCGGGTGGAGGTGGGGGGTGACTGTAAGCATGGTCGAACAGGAAAGTCTTCAAGAGGGACTTGAAAGAGGGGAGAGAGGGGGCAAGACAGAGGGATTGAGGGAGAGTGTTCCAGAGTTTTGGGGCACTGGCTGAAAGCACGACCTCCGATGGTGGGGCGGAGAGTACGAGGGACGATCAGGAGGCCGGTACCAGTTGAGTGGAGGCTTGACCAAACAGTATTGGAAAATGAAAGACAGGTTAATGGGTTGGGATGATCCTTCATCAGAACAGTTACTGCCTCCAGTTATTTAACAGTAAATCAATAGTTGTAGAGGCAAAAATCCTCACTAAATTGATTTTCTTGGAAATGGATGCACGGTATTAAACAGAAATACAGTCAAAATCTGGAAATGGAATTGGAGAAACTGAATTTGGAGTGTTAATGTGAACTACTACTACTAATAATAATCCTTAGCATTTGATATAGTGCCTTATCGCATCTTCAAGACGCCTCAAAGCGCTTCACAGAAGATACTGTAAAGCGAATCGAGGTATATTTTATGGGCGAAACGGGGCAGCGAATTGTGCTCAGCAGCGTCCCACAAACAGTCGTGGATTGCGTGGCCAAATTATTGTTATTTTTATTTTTGAGGGGATTATTACCCCCGGAAAAGCAATCCGCCAAACGTCTAACAACCGGGTTCCTACTCACTGCTGGTAAACAGAGGCGTGTGGAGTAAGGAAACTTGTCTAATGTTTTGCCCTGCCCGGGAAACTCAGGTACTCTCGCTTGAGAGGCGAGCGCTCTAGCCACTGCAATACAGAACTACACAGAGTATTATGGGAACTAAGAGTGGAAATGAACCAATAATGAAGGTGCCGCCCTTCGGATCAGATGATAAACTGAGTTCCTGCTTGCCCGTGGAGGTGTTAAACGTTCCTTGGCACTATTGGAACATTTTTGTGGAGTTGGCATCCACATGTGGAGCTCTGGTTTCGATACTCTTAGCTATGATGATGGGTTACTACAATGTCAGCCACCCAGCTGACAAAAAAATTCCTTTTCAATAACCCTTTTGAGGAAGTGGCAAGACATTTGAGGTTTGTGGTTTTAGACAGTGTGGTATTGTGAGAAATCTGCGCTTTTCTGTGTGCTTCTGGGTACTTGTTCTGTGCTTACGTAGAATTAACATAGATGTACGGAAACAGGCCACTTGGCCCACACCAAGCCATCTCCTCTCTCCCTCTTTCCCTGTGGGGTGAGGCCTGAAGGAAGAAGCAGGGAATGAGGCAGAAATCAGTGACTGCGTGGTTTCCACCCCAGGTACATTGCTGTCTGTCAGCCCTCGCAGTCCTGTTGGCTCTGATTGTTGCGGAGTCCTGTAGCTCAGTGGTTAGAGCGCTCGCCTCGCAAGCGAGAGGACGTGGGTTTGTTTCCCAAGCAGGGCAAACCCTTAGGCAAGTTTCCCCTGATTACCTAGCATTAAATAGGAACCCACTTGTTTGTCGATTGGCAGATCGCTTTTCCAGGGCTAATAATTCCTTCAAAAAATAATAATAATTTGGTCACTCAATCCATGATGTTTGTGGGACACTGCTGTGCGCAATTGGCTGCTGCGTTTCGCCCACAAATATACAGTCACTACACTTTACAATACATCCTGCGAAGCGCTTTGAGACTTCTCGAAGACGTGATAAGGCGCTGTATCAAATACAAGGATTATTATTATTTCATTGTTAACATTTAAGTCTCCTTGGCCACTCACACAGGGAGAAAGAGAGCAATTTTTTTGTGTGGTTCTCCCTATGATAAGAGGAAACGCCTCAAGTTAACTCACAATGACTCGCTGGCTGATCAATGGAGCCCTGCAGTGTAGCGGTTAGACCTCTCGCCTCGCGAGCAAGATGACCTGGGTTTGATTCCCGGCAGGACAAAATCTTAGGCACGATTCCATACGCCTCTGTTTACTTGACAGTAAGGAGGAACTCGGTTGTTGATTGGCGGATCGCTTTCTGGGGTAATAATCTCTCCAAAAAAAATTGGTCTTTCAATCCACGACTGTTTGTGGGACGCTGCTGTGCACAATCGGCTGCCGCATTTCACCCACAAAATACAGTCAA